TGTGAAGCATGGCTAACAGGAGATTACACACTGTTCCCAGCGTCTGAAGGGCCTGACTTTGAAGATCAGAGTCCTGACTTGTGCTATGCTGTTGCCCAATTCCTCTGTGGACCTGTGGGTGGGGGTCAACCTTCTTGGATCCATAGAAGGGCAATTCAAAATCAGACAGGTTCACCAAGTTTAGTTAGAACCACACAGTGTAGAAGCCTGCTCAAGTCATGATCAGAGAACGGAAATTCAGAGTCTTCTCCATGGCGGTAGAGGTAGGGGCAGACTTATGGAATGCCCCAAGGGCCACGGGGCAGCAAACAGGCTTCTGCATGTTTGGGTGAGCCCAGGGACTCAGGCCAGAATATTTCAAAAATGCTCCTTGCCATGCCCTCCTGGGGCTTCGGACCCAGGTGACTAGGCAGGCCAGTGCTTGTGCTGAGGAGGGCACCCCACCCATCTCTGCTCTGCTCCTACCTATGCCTCTGGACCTGGTTGGGATCTGAGGGTTCCAGGGAACTATGTAGTCTCCAGGCAGCTAGAGGAGGAACCCTTAAGACTCACTCTCTGGTCTCCATTAAGTAACAGCCAGTCCTTAAAATCTGCAAGATCTTGATAATCCTCCCTACTAAGGAAAACAAGGTCCAAAGGGAGCCACATGCCTTACGTCACACTAGTTCGAAAGCAGATGTCCTCATTCCTAATCAGGCTGTTCTAGAAGCCAGAACTTAAGGGCTGTTCAGCCTCACGATGTTCAACCTAATAACAGATAGGAGCCTGGCATGGTGGCGCACGCCTTTACTCCCAGTACTCCAGAGGCAGAGACTGGCAAATCACTAGGAGTTCCAGGCTAGCCTGGTCTACAGAGTGAGTTCCAGGACAGCCAGGGCTCTGTAGAGAGACCTTGTCTCAAAATAAAAACAAAAGTAACAAAACTAAAGATGGTGGTGGTGGTGCATATCTTTAATCCCATCACTAGGGAGGCAGAAGCAGGCAGATCTCTGAGTTCGAGGCCAGCCTGGTCTACAAAGAGATTTCCAAGACAGCCAGGGCTACACAGAGAAACCCTGTCTCAAAAAAAGCAAGCAAGCAAACAACAAAACTAATAGGCCCAAGAATGTTCAGAAAAGAAAGTGCTTCATTCAAGAACATGAGCCTCCTGCCAGACTCAGTGCTCTTATCCCAGCATGAGGTACGTGTGCATAAAGGAGGGAGGATCAGGAGTTCTAGGTCAGCCTCAGCTGACCAGTGAGTTGAAATCTGGCTTGGCCTACAAGAGATCCTTGTCTCATCGACGCCAGCCTGGTCTACAGAGCAAGATCCAGGACAGGCTCTAAAGCTGCACAGAGAAAGAAACCTTGTCTCGAAAAACCAAAAAAACAAAAAACAAAAAAACAACAAAAGAAAGAAAGAAAGAATATAAATAAGGTTCCAGGCCAGGCAGGGCTTTTGAGTGAGACCCTGCCTCAGAAAGACAACAAAAAAAGAACATAAACAAGCCCCCCTTCATCTTCCTATCCCCACAAGAGGGTACTTCCTTTTGATTAAGATTGCCGTTGGTCATGGAGCTCGAGAGTACTGGCTGCTGTTCCAAAGGATCAGAGTTCGATTCCCAGCACCCACATGGCAGTTCACAACTATCTGTAACTCCAGTTCCAGAGGATACATGCAAGCAAAACACCAATACACATAAAATAAAAAATAAATAAATCATAAAAAGTGGGGGCGAGGCTAGGGATGTGGCTTAGTTGGAAGAGGGGTTACTTAACATGCACAAAGCCCTGGGTTCCATCCACGGCACTATGTAGCCAGGTATGGCAGGCCACTCCCAACAATCCTAGCACTCATGAGTTAGAAAGTTTAAGGCTAGCCTAAGCTACATGAAATCCTGTCCAAAGGTGTGTTGGAGGGTGGGTGGAGAATGTAGCTCCCGTCCGGACGTGGTGAGGACTGGGAATTCCAGGCCACCTCAACTACATTAGTGAGACATCACCCAAATGAATACACAAATGTGTAATAAAATCTTCAGGTTTCAAATCTTGTCTTTTGCCACATCCTAGCTCGGTGACTTTGGGCAAGTGACATATTTTTGTCATGTGTAAATTGGAAGCTAGCTAGTAGCACAGAGGGACTGTTGTGGGGAGGAAGAGCAGAGAATTTTAGAATGAGTCACCATTGTCCAGGCTTGACCATGGGGGCTAGAAAGGGATTCTCTCAGTCCTGGTTATAACTCCTAGTGCAGTGCTTTACAACTGAAACGCATAACGGGACACACTTGGTCACGACCCCCACCTAAGCCCACACTCACCCGTCCCCAGGTCACTGAGGGCCCCTTCTTTTTCCTCTTTGGGCTCACTGGGAGTACAGATCTACATCAGACCACCAACGCTTGCCCCACAGTGCACTCACTTTCTTAATGCCCCTGGGTTTCAGCTTCTGAAAAACTGGAAATACTCAATGACCAACACACCCAGGCGGTTCCTGGAAAGATTAGTGGTCCTCCTCTCCGGGGTGGGCCGTGTGACCTGAGCTGTCCATTGCTTCCTGTCACCTCTGCGCATACTGCGAGGCTACCTGAAGAACAGGGTGTGGCCTGGCCTTTTGGGCTCTACCATCAGAACCTCGGGCAAGTGACTCAGCCTCTTCGTGAGGACTGAGTTGGAAAGCTCGACTGTGGCCACCTGAGTCAAGGGTCACCAGAGACTTGAGCAAGCTCTGTCACCTCAGATGGCTCTCTGCCCCACGAGCTCTCTGTCAGGTCAGGTGACCCAAGTCCTAAAGTGAAACTAATTACCGAGCAAGAGCTTCCACCCTGAGCTGAGCCTCAGCCTCTGAGGCCTGGACCGCGCCTCTCTCCTCCCATTCCTGACCCCATCTGTAGACACGAGGCTGGTCATCCATTGGCTCACTCTCTGACTGGAAATAGGGAAAGTGAAGGAAGTTGACAGATGGGGAGTGTTCCGAAGGTCTTAGCACCAGGGGAACAGACGTTTTTCCGGGCTCGGGCTGGAGAGGTGGCTCAGCTGTTAGGAGTGCTCATGCTGATCTTGCAGAGAACCAGAGTGCAGTTTCCAGCACCTTTAAAGGGCAGCTCACCTGTATTACAGTCCCAGCCTGTATCTCCCGCTCCGGGGGCCCTGAAGTCCCTAGCCTCCATTGAGTACCTGCTGGACCAGGCAACCCCCCCCAGCACCGCCCCCCACATGGAGTTTAAAGGTCAGTGGTAAGGTGGTTCCCTAACAAGCACAACATGCCCCCCCCCGCCCCCACCCCAAACACTACCACACTCATTTCACAAAGGCCCTTTGCAGGTGGCACAGGTGAACTTTGGTGTCCCCATTACTGGGCTAGAAGGCAGAACTGGGCAGTAAAAACTTGAGATCACTAAGGAAGAAGAGTCGCCGACCAGCGCTCCCTGACCATATCAGTGAATTTGGAAGTAAGGCTGAAGTTGCACCAGAGGATCAGGATTTTCTTCCTTAGATAGGATCTCACTCTGTAGCCCTGGCTGTCCTGGAACTCACTCTGTAGACCAGGCGGGGCTTGGCTGCATAGAGATCTGCCTGCCTCAGCCTCCCAAGTGCTGGGATTAAAGGCGTAAAGGTGTGTGCCACCACACCCAGCAATAACAAATGCCTAAGGCATACAGGGTGTCAGTGTCTAGGGTCTGGGTCACAGTGCTATATAAGACAAACAGGAATCAGGAGGTGGTGGCACACGCCTTTATTCCCAGCACTAAGGAGGCAGAGGCAGGCGGACCTCTGTGAGTTCGAGGCCAGCCTGGTCTACAGAGTGAGTCCCAGGACAGCCAAGGCTACACAGAGAAACCCTGTCTCGAAAAAACCAAACAAACAAAAAGCCAAACAAGGACTGGCAGGGGAAGGGGGAAGGAATACAGGTACCTGCCAGCTGTCATCTGGCCTCAACAAGCACCAGGGACAGAGAGGGTGAAGGGGTGCTGGCGGTTTAGGGAGCAGAGACATCGGAAAAGTCATTAGCAAGGGTTTGAAGGATGGGAGTGGTCGATCAGGTCGGCCAATTCTTCTGCCTATCGGCTTTTGTACTGGTGGCAGCATGCAGCGCTGATATTCAGGTACCAGCCCCCTCCCCCTGTCCTGCAGAGTTTACCGAAATTTGTTGACAGGCTGTGTTGCAGGAGCAGGGCCGGAGGAGGATTTAGGAAGGGTTGGTTAGACCCAGGTCTGGGTGCACCTACTTCTCACTCAGATCTTGTTCTGTGGCTGAAGTAATATGTTTGAACTCTTGGACAAATCGTTTCTCCCGGGTCAAGTGCTGGGGTTCATAGCACGGGCTCAGGAAATCCAGGTTTCACCTCCTCTCTCTCAATCATAATATGAGGGCTGGAAAGGATGGGAAAGCTCCCGAGAGAGGAATGAGGTTAGGAACACACTCTCGGGACGTAGAGAAAGCGGGGCTTTTTATTCGCACCGCTATGTACAGTGTTGGCTCTCCAACTCCGTGTTTACGCGGTGCTGGGTGAGAGAAGCCCCCCTCTGCCGGCAAGCACGGGTACCCGGCAATCTGGGGGACAAGGTTCCGAAGACTCGGTGGGACGCCGTGGCTCCTCCCGGAAGGGCAGAGGACACCGAGCTCGACGCACGTGGACGGCGTGCGGCTCTGCGGTTCCGGTCACCAAGCTGTCCCGCGGAGCTCAGCGACCAGGCGGACCGGCGGCGGCGGGCGGTGGAGGAGGCTGCGTGCAGATGCCCCACGCCGAGCCCGGCAGGAGGCGGGCAGTGTGACAGCGACTCACGCACGTGCCACGCGCACGCAGAGGGTGCCCCGCAGCCACGCTCCTCGGACGGGACGCGCCACGCTCCACCCGTCCAGCCCGCCCAGTCCCACCGCCGCTCGCGCGGCCTCGGGGAGAGCCGGGAGGCGTGGCCCGCTGGGAGCCCGCCCCTTTGATGTGCGCCGGCGCCGCGGTGATTGGCTGAGCGCTTGTGACGTGCGGGGACTGCGGTGGGCCCGGGTGCTGCGGCTGCCGCAGCGCCCGCCGCGGCTCCGGCTCCGGCTCCCCGGCATTTAAAGGGGACGCGGCGGCGGCCCCGGGGATGGAGGGCAGGTGGAAGGGACGGAACAGAGGCACATCATCCACGGTCCCTCAGGACTGGAGGGACGCGTGAGCCGGAGCTCAGAAATCCGGGGGTGGATAAGACTGCGTCCTCCCCAATTCCCGTAAGTACCCCTTGCTCCATCCTGCCCCCCAAACCCCTTAACTAGCCCCCTTCCCACTACTTCCACTCCAAACTCAACCGGGACGGACAGCGCGGCCGCCGCTGCCCCGCGTGAGTCCTGGGCTTCGTGAGGATCGCGATCTCAATGTTGGGGTGGGGGCCGTGTGGAGTTTGAGGGTGTTTCATGCGCTTGGTGGTGGGGTAGCCCCTGGGGCAGAGAACTGAGCCCCCTTCTTCACCAGGCTCATGGAGCCCAGTGCCCCTTCATCTTCGGGGACTATCCTAGCTCCCCGCCACCCACAAGTCCTCCCTTCTCCCCGAGCTGCGCACCCCCCGCCCGCATTAGAGCGAAGTGCCCGCCAGCTGGGGGTGTGCCAGAGTGCTTGCTTTCCAGTCACCTCTAAAAATATCTCTCCTGCTACCCCACCGGCAGCTGCCATCTCCCTGCCCCTACCCAGTGAAGATCAACCTCTGCTCGTCTACCCAAGCAGGGGACCCCAGAGGCGACGCCTAGTCCCAGATTCCTCACCGGCACCAGGGCATAGATCATTACTCCCTAGCGAGCCAGGACAGGGAACATTACAGAGTCTCTGGAGCAAACGGGGAGGTTCAGAGAGTAGAGACCCCTGAGGTCTAATCCTGGTTCTGATGCTGTGTGACGCCCGTGATGTCAGCCGGACCTCTCTGAGTCTCTTTGAACGAGAAAGGCGTTCGGGAAGTTGTGAGGGTTAGGGAAAGGAATCCCAGCTTAACTGTGCGATCTGATTTCTAGTGGTGGGCATATACTTACTCTTGGAGCAGAGAGCGCTCGCCACTGTGATATTTCTGAAGTCCTCACCCCCATTCTCAGCCTGCATGTTTCTCGTGGAAAACTCCCCAAACTTTTCTACCCTATCCTCCATTCGGAGAATTCAAGCCTAGAGCTTAAGACACACAGACACACACCTACCCCACCTTCCCACAGATTTAACTGAGTATTTGTCTCTGGGAGAGGTGGTGGTGCACACCTTTCATGCCAGGATTCAAGGCGGACCTCTGAGTTCCAGGCCAGCCTGGTCTACAGAGTGAGATCCAGGACAGGCACCAAAGCTACACAGAGGGACCCTGTATGGGAAAAAAAAAATTGTGTCAACGGAGGGAGGGAGCAGGCTGGGAGCCTGTGATCTATGGAATCAGGGCCACAAAAGTTGGTCTTAGGTGGGACTAGAAAAGAATACTTTCCGCCCCAGAAAATCTGCTTCCTCTCCCTGCTAACATGCTGAAGAAACTCAAATCCTGTCTCCACAAGGGATTTTTGTTGTTGTTGTTGGTTTTTTGTTTTTGTTTGTTTTGAGACAGGTTTCTCTATATAGCCCTGGCTATCTTGGAACTCACTATTTAGACGAGGCTGGCCTTGAATTTAAGAGATTCCCCTGCCTCTGCCTCCTGAGTGTTGGGATTAAAGGTATGTACCACCACTGTCTGGCACCACACAGGATTTTATCACTCATACAAAACCTGTCAGGAGTGAATGACTTGTGTGTGTGTGGTTGTTGTTTGAAACAGGAACTTTTTGTGTAGTTCAAGCTGGTCTCGAACTACATCTCCTGCATCACCAGGCCAGGCTACTGCCATTGACCTTTTCAAATGTTATGAAGCCAAATAACAACTAGGGATGAGCCGGGTGGTGGTGGCGAATGCCTTTAATCCCAGCACTCTGTGAGCTCGAGGCCAGCCTGGGCTACCAAGTGAGTTCCAGAAAAGGCACAAAACTACACAGAGAAACCCTGTCTCAAAAAAAAAAAAAAAACTAAACAAACAAACAAAAAACAACTAGGGATGTATGCTTCCCCAGCTGTGGGGCTGGGATGTGGGGTGTCACAGTAAGACTGCCTTAGCTTCTGGGAAGAAACCCTGGAGGCCTGGCTTACTGCTCTGCAGATAAAAAAGAAACAAGATTACCAGGAGTGGCAGTGCTGGACTCTAATCCCAGCACTTGGGAGGCAGAGGCAGGCAGTTTGAGGCCAGCCTGGTCTACATAGAAAGTTGCAGGACAGCCAGGGTTAGGTAGTGAGGCCGTCTCCAACACAAAAATGAAGATTTCTGTAAACGCTCACTAGTATTAGGTAAAAACATAATTGTGTCTACTACTGTGAGACATGAGAGGTTTTAAGCATAAGATTAATATAATTTTTTTAAAAGGAAGACAGGCAAATAGTTGACCCCACCCCCCAAGAGATGAAAATTTATCTTAGCAGGGCAGGGTATTCATTACTCAGGATGCTGAGTTCAAGGCCATGTTGGGTCACCCTGTCTCAAAATTAAAAGCAAAAGTACTGTATAATAAGGGTGTGCTGTATAATACCTGCAAAGACTGGTGGTCAGTCCTGATTATGGAAGGGACGGAGGGAAGGAAGAAATGCTGAGAGAAAAGAAAGTTGGTCTGTGTGGCTGCTGGTGTGGCCATTTGTGTCTTTGTATCTGCGCCCCCCCTTCTCCTCCTGCCCTGATGCTATCCCTCTGAGATTGCTTTTTACAATGGGTGTGCCCCCCCCCTTCTCCTAACGCTTGTCCTGGGACAAAGGTTATATCAGCTAGGATTCTGACTGACAGTTCCTCTAATATCCCCTGCATGCCATTCCCTTGTCCTTATCCCCATCCCCTTCTCTTGCACTATCTCAACAATGTTGTTTCACAGGACACTACCATTTTTTGCTGGTGAGCTTTATTGCCTCCTTCCAGTCACTAGCTATAAATTGGGGGTGGGGTGGGGGCAGCACTAAAAGTCACTTCCCGTCTCTAAAGCTTCGCTTTGAGGAACCGAGGGTAGCCAGTGATGCGTCTCTCTATAAAGACGGTTCCAGAGCCGGTGTCCACCTCGTCCTCTCCTCGTTTATTCTGGAGGCAGTTGCCTCCGCTGCCCTGGGATGGTCAGGGAACGTCACCTTGACAAAGTCAGACTTTGCCGCGCCACCTATTGTCACCACTAGAGGGCAGCAGCCAGCCAGCTCTTTGCTGTCTCTTCTCTGGTATCTTTCCGATTCCAAGCTGTATCTTTCCAAGTTTAAGAGGCTGACTGACCTCTGGTCTCTCAACCTGGGGGTGGAGAGGTAGGGGAGAAGGGAGGCACCAGAAGCTGTAGATGGTAACCTGCGTAGCTGCAATGATGAAGGCCCCAACCAAAAGACCAGACCGGGTCACCTAAACTCTAGTAGAGGTTTCTAGTAGAGGTCTTGTTGGTGAGACCCCTGAACACGGTTAGTGACGGAGGTAAGTCTCATATCTCATGTAAAGCCCAGGGCTCTCAGCCTCTAGACAGTGGTGAAGCATTCATGAACCAAAGGCCACACTGCTTAAACAACACAGCCTCTGGGAAGTGAATGAATCCCTCTGTTCTCTGCCTTCACCGGTCTAACGAACCATGAATGAGATTGGGAATAAAGGTGACTGACTGACTGGTAAACTGTGACATTGCCCTACCCGTGTGTGGGCAAAGTTCATACGGGAGGAAGAAGCCCTGGACCAGCCTCTGAGATCTGGTTTGGAAAAGCCTCAGCCACTTTGAGTGAGTGGGATTTGAGTAAGTCCCTTAGCCTGTCTGGATCTCCAGGTGTGCCCCCTTGTTACCTCTCTGGTGAGCCCCGGAACTGGCCAGGAGTGTTAATAGCAAGAGCTTGCTCTTGCTGAGAACCTGGGAGTGACGCCCGTGCTTGAGGAAATCCAGTCAGGTGGGCATCAGTGGTAAAAGGGAAGCTGGTTTTTGAGACAGGGTCTCTCTACATATCCCTGGCTGTCTTAGAACCCACTATGTAGACCAGGCTGGCCTCAAACTCAATAGATCCATCTGCTTCTGCCTCCTTCCCAAGTGCTGAGATTAAAGGTGTGCGCCAACACACCCCAAATGAACAGGTGTGGACTTTTGTGGGGTTTTTTGTTTGTTTGTTTATTTCAGGAACTCTGGATGAAAGCTTGAGACCAACACAGTTTCTAGAGGTGGTGCCCAGCATAATATCCTGACAATGAGCGGGTGTCTTCCAGCTGTTGGCCTACGATGCCTATCTAGGGTAAGTGGGACCCTTCAGGAGGAGACCTCATGCCCCAGCTTCTCCACCCTGAGATAGGAGGAACCCTCCTCCCCAGGCCCGTTCAGATTTGCCCTCTCCACTGGCGCTCTGTGAATCCCTAGACATTTCTCTGGTGTGGGTCCTGGTACCTTATATCCTCAGCAACAGAGACCTCATGCCACTGAAACTCCCCCAGGCGACTACCAGAGGGACACAGTGGAAGGGACGGTCCTTTTAGGGGAGCCAGAGAGCCACATTCCAATCCCAACTCTGAAATGACTGAAACTGTTGCTGTTTTACCAAAAGTTATCAGAAGTAATAGTGGGTGAGGGGGTACCACTACAGGGCATGTTTGAGGTCAGCCTGAGCTCCATGAGACCCTTTCTTTAAAAAGAAAGAAGTGGGTGTGATTGTGTGACGGGAAACCAGGTTCCACGTGGGTGAGCTGGGACAGGAAGCTCTTGCAGAGAGGCAGACAGACAAGCGGTATGGTGGATAGTCTAGGACTTCCAGGGTCTGTCACTCTGCCCCTCCCGGACAGCTGCTGGCCAACAGAGGTGGCAGGGCCGTGTAGATGGGGGCTCCCGCTGTGTCTGTGTGCTTGCCTCTCTCTTTGTGCCCCAATACCCCCACCGTTCCCCCATCCTTCCCATGCTGTTCCCCCTTGGCCCAGAGTCCCACTACCTAAGGCGCCCACACTGTTCCAGTAGTCCGCTCTCCCCTGCTTGACTTCCTCCTAAATACCCCCTCCCCAGTGGCCCCTCCTGCTAGCTACCTGCCCCTCCCTCCCTCTCTGCCCTTGCCAGACACTGCTGCTCTCTTCCCTCTCCCCTACCTGTCCCCCAGGTATGTCGTGGCCTGGCGAGGGGGGCCCCCATTGCTTCTCCTGCTGCCTGCTTGCTTCGGACTCTGGCAGAAACCCCACCTGCTGACACGGTCTTCCCAGGGAATTGGCAAGTGATTAGCAGCAGCACCAGGGCCCTACAGTCACTCCCTGGAGGAGCCATGTCTCATCCCCAAGCCCCCCTGCCCAGGGCCCTCTGGCTGGAAGCTCCCAAAGAGCCTCCCTGGGTCTTGTGTGGTCTGCACACCTCCCTGGTCCTTTCAAGGGCTCAGATCTAGTTCTCTGGCCAGGACCTAGCAGGATCTGGAACCTGGCTTTCCAAGCCTGGCACTTGAGAGCTCACGTCTAGGCTCCCCGGGGAAAGACCTGACACTCATTGCCCACCCGCCTTGGTGACGCCAAATCAGTTAAGGAACCTCAGGGAGTGATCCCTGACAAGCCACGCCTCCCTTTTCTCCTAAGCTGACAGCTGCTAAAGCCCCAGGGAACCCATGAGAGAGGCAGAATCAAAAAACCAAGAAGCCTTTGGCTTCGAGACCAGTATGGACCCCTTGCGTCAACCCCCCCACGATTAACTGAGAGACGGGCAAGGGACGGTGGGGTGTGGGCCCCACATCGGTTCCATCTCCGACTTAACCAGCCTTGGGTCCTCCTCAGGTCTTGGATGTGCCAGCGATCCTGGCTGTGGCCCGCTAACCAGGCTCTCCCCGGCCGGCTCCCGCCGCGCCACCTTTCGCTTGCCCCCTCCTCCTGCTCCTCTCCCCCCTGCTCCCAGGACGGCAGGATGGCTGCGCCCGGCGCGCCTCGCTTCCTCCTGACCTTCGACTTCGATGAGACCATCGTGGACGAAAACAGCGACGACTCGATCGTGCGCGCGGCGCCAGGCCAGCAACTACCCGAGAGCCTGCGAGCCACCTACCGCGAGGGCTACTACAATGAGTACATGCAACGCGTCTTCAAGTACCTGGGTGAGCAGGGCGTACGGCCCCGGGACCTGCGCGCCGTCTACGAGACCATCCCCCTGTCGCCAGGCATGGGCGATTTGCTGCAGTTCGTAGCCAAGCAGGGCTCCTGCTTCGAGGTTATTCTCATTTCGGATGCCAACACCTTCGGTGTGGAGAGTGCCCTGCGTGCCGCTGGCCACCACAGCTTATTCCGCCGCATCCTCAGCAACCCATCCGGGCCCGACGCGCGGGGACAGCTGACGCTGCGGCCCTTCCACACGCACAGCTGCCCGCGCTGCCCCGCCAACATGTGCAAGCACAAGGTGCTCAGCGAATACCTCCGTGAGCGGGCCCGCGACGGCGTGCACTTCGAGCGCCTCTTCTACGTGGGCGATGGTGCAAATGACTTCTGCCCCATGGGGCTGCTGGCGGGCGGGGACGTGGCCTTCCCGCGCCGCGGTTACCCCATGCACCGCCTCATCCAGGAGGCACAGAAGGCCGACCCCAGCTCCTTCCGCGCCCACGTGGTGCCCTGGGAAACGGCCGCAGACGTGCGCCAACATCTGCAACAGGTGCTGAAGATGTGTTGAACATCACCTGCGAGGGGTACCCGGGGACAAACCGGCGGAGGGGGCGGGGCGCAGGACTGGGAATTGGTTAAGACCACCTGGTTTCACTCCTTCCTCTTCGCTCTGCTATGTTCCTCTGGGCATTTCTGGAATTTTGTCCGCTTGTGGTCTAGGAGCGGAGACTAGGAGCCGTCCCTATCTATGCAGTTACCACAGCTCGGCTGCCTCTTCTCCAGGAAGTGGCGAGCACCCCTTGGAAGGCAGGCAGTGTCCCTCGAACTGAGAGGAAGGGGCTCCTGGCAGCTGGGAGAAGGGATATCTCCCCACTACTTCAGCTGCCGCTTCGACCGCGTAACTTCCCCTACCTAGTCTTCTTTCAATCGGACTCAGGAGCCACCACCCCGGCCCCCCGCCCCAGTCCGCATGCCAGCGCCGGCTTCCTTGCGCAGACCCGCGATGCTCTCGGGAGACAGCTCCAAAGCATCCTTGATTTTGCGCCAGCCACCGCGATCCGCTGCTGCGCGGGGTCGCGCCTTGCTTCCCTTCCCCCGCCCACCATGCCAGACACCCCCCAAAGGAAGAAAAAGCCAGAGGGAGCAGCCAACCTCCTGCTGGTGGGACGAGGTAGAGCCAACCAATGACCTCGGAGAGTGTGACCAATCTCACTCCATCCTCATCTACCACAGCAAGAGACCAGGGACTTCACCAAAGCCGTCCTCCGTCCCCCACCCCTCCCTCCGCCCTTATGGAACAGAAAGCCATGTTTTTACGTAGAGCCAGGGAAACCCAAGCCCCTCCCCCTTCTGGTATTTCAGACCTATAAAGGAGGTGAAGGGGGACGAACTGACTCATTTCTAGCGCCGCCGTCGCCGCAGTCGGAGGGAGGGGTGAAAAGGTGCCCTTAGCTGTCAGCCACATTTAAGTGGAGGATGCTTGAGGAGCCCAGACTGAACGCAAAGCAAGCGGCAAAAGGGTTTTGAAAGATGCCGTGAGTGGCCGTCTGTGACGGCTGGGGTCTAGTGGGAACCCTAAAGAGGACTGGGATGGAAAGGTCCTCCTGGGTCAGTCTGCAGGGCTCTCTTGATGTCCCTTTCCATTACAAAACCCTGGCCCTCTAGCCCTGCGGGGCAAGAATCAGGAGGCCATCAGTTTTATTCAAAGCTGGCAACTTGCTCTTTATGAGCTAGGGGTCCTCTGGGCAAGGTGCCTGAACTTCTTGGCTTTTAGTTTTTTTTTTCAGGGGGGGGTCCCCCATCTGCAGCAATTCTCTTGTGTACCACCTCTCTCTAGCCTCTCCCCCCTCCCCCCCCCCCCCCCCCCCCCCCCGCCCCCGACCCCAGACACACACTTCCCCACTGCTGTGTGGAGCAGGGACCGAACACCATTCACAGCCCAAGAGGTAGACAGGTCCTTAGTCCAGCCTTGGCTGCGGAGCTGGCTTCTTGGGACTCAGGAGGCCCACTGAGGCAGTGCTGGGTTGGTGCAGGGACGGATCTGTCAGCAGCTGGGCTCCACGTAGTTCCCTGGGAAGAATCCAGCGCCCTCTGAGCTGACCCCCTCACACCAGCCGTCGGAGTAGCGGCGTGTGACGCAGATGACGGTGCCCTCGGAGAAGGAGAGCTCGTTGTCCTTCTGGCGGGTGTATGGGTATAATGTCACCACTGCAGGGCAGGAAAGAAAAGCTTGCGAGAGGGTCCTCTGCTCCCCCAGTGGTACAGGAGCCCTAATACAGCGCTCTAGGGAGCATGTGGGGAGAAGACTGTAGGAAGAGCGTCCGAGCCTTTACATCCCTCCCCAGCCCAGGCAATATTCAACACCAGGCCAGCTGCTCTTTTCCTAGCAGGCTTCAGAACTCAGTTCCCAAAGGAAGGGGATGGAGAGACAAAATAGGGTCACACCTTTAGCAGGGAGAGCGAATGCCCCTGGGTCAGGGCAACAGAGGCCAGAAACCTGGCAATAGAGCCTGGTGCTTTTCAGTCCTAAGAGGACGGTACCTTTCTCCAAGTAGGCAGCAGGGACCCAGCTGGGCTCATCTGGTCCAAAACCTGGTGGGGGCGGAGGCAGCAGCCCCAGTTCATCCCCCTCCAGAGCTGGAGGAGGGGGCAGGGGCAGCTCTGCTTCTGGGAAGGCAGAAAAAAAAAATACATGTGTGTGTATGTCGTACATGTATGGTGGCACCGTCCTCAGGATCTAACCAGTGTGTGTCGTCACCCACAATGCCCCCAGCCCATTGGTGGTGCTTGGAAGGACTCGGCACAGGGTAGGCAGACCCTGCTGGGCAACCCTTACCCAGGCGGGTTAAGCCTATAACGGCCTTGTCAAAGTTAACTTCAAATGAGAAGCTCCAAACACAGGGCCAGTGTAAAACAGGCTCGGTTCACTGATTCCCTGGGGTTCCGGAGGAGCACAAGGTTGGAGCCCCAAAGGATGGATGAGAATCTCTAGTGGGTGGGGGTGAGGGGGGATGGGCACTTCTTACCTGGAGGGGACTGGGACACGTCCAGCGGAGGAGGCGGTAAGAAGACCTCAGCGGAGGCTGCTGGAGGAGGCGGGGTTGCCAGTGCTAGAGGTGGAGGGGGCGGGGTGGCAGGAGCTAGAGGTGGAGGGGGCGGGGTGGCAGGTGCTGCCTGTCGAGGGGGCTGGGGGATCGCAGCTGCACGTTCCGCACTGCTAAAGACCAGAGAAAGAGGTGGAGGAGGCGGGGTGTTAGATGCTGCCTGTCCCTTGGATTGGGGGATCCCACCGGCACCTTCCGCACTGCTAAAGACCAGAGAACACGC